GAGAATTTTTTCTTGGCTGCTTCCCATGCGAAAAAAGATATTCTGGGAGGAGTTCCCGAGTTCCAGATGATTTTAGGTGGGAAGTTCATGTGATTGCAGTTAATCCAGCCATCCAGAAAATCATAAGAAAAGATTCCATCGTATTTCTTTACCATATTCTTCTTCCTCTGAGCTCCATCAAACGTTATCCTCTCCATCGTTGGAATCCGTCTTGGAATATGCCATGCAATTGCACTCTCATGCTTCATAGGTTTTTATTGGTTTTCCCTAATGCGCAGTCATTCGTGATGGTCTGCGGCTTTTGACCCACTTCCCTTCATGGCCTACTTAACTATTTTCCTTTCTTGGCCTAGCTGAACCACAGTTTAAATCCAACTTGCTTCTTGTCTTTGGGCTCTTCAAGCTGAGGCCCGTACGAGCCCCCCCACACAATCAAGATGACATCCCTTAATTGCATTTTGACGAGTTTTGAATTTCACCGGACCCATCTTAAAATTAGGTCTCTTCTTCCCTACCTGGCTCCCCTCTCGCTTGCCTTCCTTCCCCGCATCAACAAAGTTCCTCTCTCCTCTCACCTTCAGTCTCACAATTAGCTCCATCTTACATATTGGGCAGCACAAGAAAATCTATGTGGTATCATGAACTGCCTCTGGGCTATGCTTCTCCTTCTGGTTTCTTGTTTTTATCTCCTTTGGTTGCCCCAGTGACTCAAACTTCCTTCCCACCATTTCAGGCAACACTACCATCATCCTCCACTATCCTCTGGTCTGTGGACCTTCCAGAATGAAGATGCGTCTTACTCCCTCTCCTTTCTTCTATGTGATAACTAGAAAGTTCCCAGTTGTTACCTCCCATGGCCACCCATAGATGGTTGCTTTTGCCTGCCTTATTCCAAGCCCAACTTCCCTCCTCTTGTCTGGTAAAAATTCATGCAAAGCTTCCAACAACTGTGTACAGTCATCCTCCCAAAAAGTGATTGAAGCCCTAAACTCTCTTCTTTTCTGCTCACCCTGATTCCATCCGTTTTCTTCCCTACCAAAACATCAAATGATTTGCTCTCTATGGCCAGAAATTTTCTGGTCTGAGGGAGCACCATGACCACCTCCCTGCTCACCAAAGGATGCGAGCAGGAGGAGAGACGATGTTGGCCATGCAGTTTCTCTCGCTTACCTAACTATATTCAGGAAATTAGTATTGTCCTTAGCTAATTGTGCTCATCTTTGACAGTTAGTTCATAGCAACAGTGGAATCCAGTACATTTTCGCTTTCGATAACCAAACTGATGGAGAATAGAGACTAGATGCCTGACTTATATAAGGACTTAGACTAAATGTTAGTTTACCTGTTATTGGACCATTGTGTTCTATCTGTTGGTAGTTTTTCATCTATGGCTATATCCCATGTTCTAAGGCTAGACCTATTGGGCCATTTTGTTCTTTCTGTTGGTAGTTTTTTATCTGTGGCTTTAACCCATGTTCTAAAGCTAGATAGGTTCTGTTTCTTTGCTCTTCCCATTCCCTTCCGGTGCTAAACTACTGCTTCTTCAACACTTGCCCTTCTGTTCAGCATTTATGTTGACCTCATGTTCTAACCATATTCTCAAATTTTTAGGAAGATGATGAACAAACCATTGAGGAAGATGAAGTACATATAACTGAACAAGAAAGACAAGAAGAATTGGCTGCTTTGCACAATGAAGTTGATCTTCCCATTGAGGAGCTTCTCAAACAATATTCGATGACGAGAGGTACTTTATTTTTGTTTTCCTTTTCCTTTTAATTCTTTTTTCTTCTGCATTTTTATTTTCAAGAATTATTTCCCTATAAAAAAAGTTGTTTCCATGATACTTCTTCCTTTATCTCTAAAATATTCTTTTGTATAAGGTCCGAATCACTTGGATTGAGATTGTCATGAATCAGCGCATATCAGGATAATCATGGTATGCATGTATCCGTATATCTTAATTTGATCATGGTTTTTCTCAGTTAGCAGAGAAACTAGCTTGGAAAATGGAGAACATGAAGGTGGGCTGTCTTTCATGGGAGAACATCATGGAAAGGGTAAGGGGTTACTAGTGAATTACCTTAAGTCTAATCTATGTGACTATGACTGAAATTGCAGAGGCTTATATATTCTGCAGGTGACAAAACCAATCTTTCAAACACAAATAAAATTGAAACAAGCTATCTCCATGTTCGCCGTTCTGTAAGTTGTATGTGTTTCTAGTTGCAATTGTTGGATTTCAATGCTAGGTTTAAGACTCAACATAATACCCATTTTCTATTTGTAGGATGAAAACAATGGTAACTTATCAATATCAGAAACCCATTTATCAGTATGTGAGATGACTCAACCTCAAATTTTAACATGTATATCTGGGGAGTCAGCCAAAGAAGATGAGCGATATGACTTTAAGGAAGAGCAGGTAGGCATGGAAGTCTGAATTTCCTTGTATTGATTTATTGTTGTTGTAGCAAAAATAAAACTAAATGCTTATTTTGGTCTGTTTTCAGTGTTGTTATAATTATCACTTTATTATTTCTTCAATTTGAAAAACACAAATACAAGATATATAAGGAACCAAGTTGATGCCTACCATCACAAGACAGCTAATTTCAAGCCCAAAATACCATTAAGTGGAGAAAGTAGATTGCACCTGTTAAAAGTATACAGTATGCAACTCTATCATGCACCAAATAGACTCCACAACACTGTCGAAAACTCTTCTATTTCTCTCTTTCAGATTTTCTAAAAGAATTGAGGTATCGTAAGGTTTCACTTTGTTGAGCTCCTTTTGTATTTATTGATGTTCTTTTCCTATAATAGATTTCTTGTTTTTCCCCCTCAAAAACTCCTAAATTCGATTTTACAATGAAAGATTACTTGTGTTTGTTTGTTTATTTGTTTTTTTTTTTCTGGTTTTTAAAATTGTTAGTCAATATTTAAACTATTGTATAAATTTTTTGCATTGTTCATCTTTTCTGCATTTAACATTCCTTAATATCTGACTTTATCTTATGATAGTAAATTTTGGTTTTTGCTACTATTCATTAAGTCCTAGATTCATTTGAGGCCAGTTTTGTCCTTGCCTCATTTCCTTTTACTTGGTTACAGGTTTATTGTTTGATATTTACTAACTTGTCTTCTATTATGTAGGAGGATAATGATTTTTTTCTTGCTGCTGGAGAAGATAAGGTGTGATGTGGTAGTATGCTGATCGTTTAATTTTTTCAACTTTTGATGCATCTTATATGGTGATTTTGATTTTATCACCCCTTTAACTGATGCTTTTCAACATCTTGAACCACACCTAGTTTCTAGTTTTGATGTAGGACAAGCCAGTATTAGTTTTCGTATCTGTGGAATTTGGCAGAATTTCGAGATTATTGGATATTATGCCTAAAAATTGGGATGAAAATAACAGAAGGTAACTAGGAGTCACAACTAGGATCCATTAAGCATCATGCCTAAGGTGAGGGTTTGATTGCATGACCGAGATCAAATTTGTATCACACCAGCATGGTTGTGTCTACACTGTTGTAGAGCAAATCTGCTGAGAAAATCCTTTATATTTGTTTTGAATAATGGTTGTTGTATTGTAAGAGAGATTATAGAGGTATTTATGAGGAGTTAGTTTAATTCTAAACTAACTATGATTGTGAATGCTAAGAGGAAACTGAAGATTTTAAAGCATAAATAAAATCATACCACTGTTAGAATTATAATTGTAGACTTAAATATTACGATGATTTTAGATGTAAGAGGCATATAATTCATAATCTATTTAGAAAAACTAGGTGAAGTTCCTTCTGCATCATTCCACATTTGTTGAAGAAAACTTGATCTTGGGTTCTGAGGTTTTGAAGTGTCCAAATTGGAATATCAGAAATATGTTTGTGAACTTTGCAATTAGCAGTCCTACTTAGAAGCAAAAGTAATGGACACAACTAGTTATGAGAATAAAAAAACTAGTTATGAGACCAAAATTCAGTAGGTAAAAAGAAATTTACAAGTTTGTGCCTCATGTTCATTCTCAAGCTTAGCTTCTATAGACTCAATTGATTCTTTATTTTTTTCTTGCTCCAATAATTGATACTGTTATCTTTTGTTTCAAAACCTTATTTTTTTTGTCAAATGTAAGATTGTATGTTTTTTTTTTTTCGAAATAAATTGTATAGCGTAGCATTAATATAGACAAACATACCAAAGAGGTAACCCATATCCAAGATATTTACATGTCAATTAAAAGGTCAATAACATTATCAAAATCTTCCAGCTTATTAATGTCATGACCTAGATCCACGAAACGAAAAACATGAATCCATCTATTCCTAATATTAACTAACCCCCTCTCAATTCCATCAAAAGCTCTAGCATTCCTTTACTTCAAAATGATCCAAAAGATAGATAAAGGAATTAAAAGGAAGTAAGTTTTCTTTTTACATAAGCCTGCCCACACCCATAACTCATTTCTCACCAATCCTGCAATTACCCAATTAATCCCAAGGAGA